TGGTACACTGTGGTCATATAGGGATGGACATGGTCAGAAGATGGTACACTGTGGTCATAAAGGGATGGACATGGTCAGAAGATGGTACACTGTGGTCATAAAAGGATGACATGGTCAGCAACAATACTCAGGTAGGCTGTGTCATTGGCACGATGATCAGTTGGTACTAATGGGTCCAAACTGTTCCAGGAAAATATCCCCCACAGCATTGCAGGATGTATCCAGACACTTCTATCAGGAACACTACAAGAACAAGTTTTTTTTATTTTCTGTAGAACTGTAATCACAGTTTAAAGTTTCTTATGACAGATAATTTTAAGTGTGTTTTAACAACAACAGTTATTCATTTAAAATAGTGTTTACATGTGCCACACCTATTTGTGTTCATTGAGGTTGTGAATCTTGAATCAGGTTGACTCCAAAAGGTAATCAGTTCTAGATTTACAGTATATCCAATGATTTTGAGTGTTTTGTTAAACATACAGAAGTCCATGAGATATTTTGCTGACAGACAAACAATTACATAATTCCCTGCTTCTTTTTGTAGGGATAAATTCGCACAAAAAAACACCCGTACAAGACAGTAAGATTTATTTTTATCTCATTTTGACAAAACAGAAAAGACAATATTTGCAGATTTATGAGGTCAAATGAGTGAAATAATCAAACCCATACCACATGTGTAACGAGGTAAATGTAACAACAAATCTAAACTGCTCTCCCTGAGCATGCCTTTAATAGAAGCTGCTATCCATGCACTTGCATTCACTTACTGGTCAGATATTAATGTATCTTCAACAACAAAAGAAGGTTAATATCTCAGAAGGCGTGTTTTTGACTACAATCTTTTTGGTGTTTAAAGTTATTTTTTCACGCAGACTAAAGTAAAACATAAATACAGTATGTTTGTTATTTTAAACACTTAGAGGAAGCTTGTTGTTCTGAGGATTTCTAAAACATACAATAGAAAAAAAAACTGTCAGAGGGTTAATCATCAAGATGAATGTCTAATTTTTGGATAGCAATACATAAAATACCCAGTACGTTCCCTGCAAGTACCAGGTACATTTGGAACATAATTGCCCTCTAAGTTAAGCTACTTACAGAATAAGTAAAAATAAGTACCCTCTAAGGATTAGTGTTAAATATCAAGTACCAATATGTACCCAGTAAATACCCACTAAATACTAGGTACATACCTTGTAGGTACCATACAAGTACCAGGTACTTACAAGTTTAAGTACCAGGTATGTACCTTTAAGTACCAGGCAGTATTATGTACTGATACCATTTTTTTAAACCAAAACAATGTTTTTTTTTTCTGCTTCTGCCTCTAACTGGCTGATCAGGAGCTGAGCAGAATCTGTGCAGAATCATGGGAAAATAAATAACATCATTACATAAACTTAAATTAGAGATGAGAACACCTGCAGTTTAAAGTGTAGACAACATCTGATTGGTTGGTCAATGTTCCTCCCACTATAAACATGCATGAGTCAAGAAAAACCTAGAGGCCCAAACTTGATACAGTTTTGTATTTGAATATTTAAAGCCTTATACTGTTTGATTTTTAGGATTGTCAACTGTAGAGGATTATAGCAAGTGGTTAATAAAAAAAGAACAGAGAAAATAACTGGATTAAACAAATATGCTGTTAAATCTGTTCAATTTCCACCTGTTTCAGTGTTTTACTCCAACATTATCATAGAGAAACTCACAAGTTCTGCTATAAAAAGACAAATCATACAGCAATGATCCTTTAGGAACAAATACATCACTTAACTATGACTGTTTGATTCAGTCATGAACCAAAGTTATACATTCTGTACCAAGAATGAAAACTATGTGAAATAAAGCATGGAAGTCTTTGCTGAGCAAAAATAAGAAATGTTCATTCCATCAGTATTTACATTACATTCATTTCTCTCAGTGACGATGGTCCGTCACGAAGGCCTACCATTGGTGCAGCGAATGAAGGGGGTTGAAGCTGTGGTTACCTGTGAGGCGGTGATGGACATGCAGCCAAGGTGTTCACAATCTGAAAGAAGGATAGAGAAATGTTTTGAACTTGTTTTGTCTTTACCAGCTAGTTTCATAAGTTACAACATGAAGCTTTGTTTCATTTATTATTTTACAATTTACTAGACTTGGAAAAAACAGTGACGAGCTGTGATTTAGTCATACCACAGAACAGTTACTTCAGAAATGTTTTAGGTAAAGTATTGCTCTCAATGGGCCTCATGCAAGAACATGTTCGTATTCTTATCCTAAATTTCTCTTACTTTTGTTCGTACAAAGGGTTCGTACGAACATGTCACGTC